AGAAATGGAGGCCATTTCCTGCAATTTCAGCCTTCTGTCTTTCCTAAATATACAACTTACACATAATAGCTTAAGAGACTCCAACACCAAGTTGAAAGAAAAGAAATGGCACATTTAACCATGATTTAACTTCAAGATCAAGGTGTTGGGACTCTTCTAGCTTATTACTATAATTGGAAACTCAATTTGTATGTGGTTGTCATTATGCATTTATTTGCCGGTAAATGTGTAACATTATAACAAGACAGGTAACAGCATCTTATAGAAGTCACAAGAGGATACATCTCCTTTATTTGTAGTTCTGCACCAAGCAGTGCAGCACTTGTATACACTACTACTAGAACAGTCTTCACTATAGCAGGGTTCTCCCCAGGATTTGAGAGGCATGGCCCCCCCTCTAGAGGGGGGAAGCTGAAGCATTTTTATATTCTAAATACAAATGGAAGCCATTTCCTGCAACTTCAGGTTTTGAACTGCCAGAAAAAAATGTTAACATACAGGAAAAAATTGGGTATAGGTTCCACGCTCTGACCCCTAACCGAAATTTTAGCGAAATTTTGTAGAAAAATCGGGATGCAACACCCTAGATTTGAAAATGAGTATGAGGGCGCTGAGCTAGGAGTATCAGGGCGCAGCGCCCTTGTTCCATCGTCTGGGGAGAACCCTGCCTGTGCCTAACAGTTATTTTCATCTTCCTACAGGGTGAAGTGTCCGTACTGTCCGATGGAGCAGAATGCAGTGGACGCCCGACCAGTCCAGTTCTAAGCTATCTATCTCACCCTGATGTGTACATACTGTACAGCAAATATATAGACTACAGAGTCCAACCTATATATAAATATAGCATTATTTAAGTGGTAGGCTGTGAATGTACCAATAATTCAGAGAAATTGTGTCTTACTGAAACTTTCTGCCTCCTCTGCTACCTCCTCTTATGGCCCCCTTTCCACTAGACAGGGATCGCTGAGTGACCATTTATAATTTGACCAAGGTTGGATTGTGTGATCTTGTTGTTATTAATTGGGACTCTTGGGACACTGAGTTAACAACTGCATGGTCCTCTTTTTGATCCCTTGGTGTTAAGTACCATCTACAATTCACAAGACAACAAAACACACAAAATATGCAAAATGTGAAAAATCTTGTTCTTTATGTAGGAACTTCGTTGAGTGGTCTGTCAGATTTTTGGTTGCTAAGTAGTCCTTTAGCGATCGCAGCCTCTAGTGGAAAGGTGTAGGTAACTCACCTCCTGGTAATTTGCAGGGACAAGTCTATTTTTTACACAACCAACTTGTATCTCCGTGGACTACAATTGAAGAGCTAAAGAAAAATCTGGATGCATGTCTTACAACCAGGGTAAACAGTGTGGTAAAATATAACTTTCAAACAAGGAAAATGTTGGGTGAAAACTTTACTAGACTCCTGTGGTATAAGCAGTTCTGTCTTGCATTATTTGTGAAGCAGCTGGCCTTTCTAAAGATGTTGAGAAAGGCTGATATATGTACTTACTGTAAACTCTTGTAGGATTGCTGCAGATGATATTGTAGGGTTGTTATAAAAAAAACTGCTTGTAGGAGCAACTTACAGGGTAGTGGCTTGTATTAAAAGAGCATTGGATATGGTATATGATATGAAGTATGGTGCTGCACTGGTCTCACCACACTGGGTTGGATTTATATAGCCAGAAGTAACAATGTGCTGGTGGCAGGTTACCAAGATATTGTAACTACATAGAGAAGCAGCATGGACTATTGAGAGGCTCCCTTTACCGGTGATTAAATCTCGCTATCCTAATGCAGAAACTGTTGTGTGTCATCTTTTGAGCTCCAGAAATACCAATGGACAGTGTTGGTAAGTGTACCAATACAATAGTAATAGGTTATGTGACCTTGTACATCAAACTACAGGTTTTACATGACTGTACTTTACAACTAAGGAAGAGTGAAAAGTAAGGAAAAGTGAAGCCCCGAAACTTGTACTGTAGGAGACATTCAAGTTCAACAATACTCTAACAAGCTTGTCAAATCATACCATGGAAGACAAAGGTTAAAAATTACTTTTATTTTTTATTTGATATCTCAGAAAATAAATTATTGCCATCATCAATGAATATGATACTTCATTTCATGATAAAATTGCCTACAGACTCTCATCATCACACTATAGATCTCAATGATTGGTTGGTTGGAAATGTGTTGGAACGACTTCAGTCCCTGCCTATCATGTGGGAGATCTTAGGGCGGTCCACCCTGTAGATGTACTCTGCGGGGAGGAAGTATCCTCTGTACTCCACCTCCTCAGGTGTGGTGTCGTAGTGGTAGTGGCCCCCCTCCCCGTGATGGGAGAAACAGTGGGTGTGCTCCACTCGCAAGTCCAGACCCTACAGTGGGTGGAAAATAAGTGTGAGGGTAATGAAAATAGTAAATGACATTATGATATTGCCCCTCTCATCTTTAAAAAAAGTGATATCAAACCAGTTAATGTCACTGAAAAACTATTCTCTGGTGGTGACAGAGATAGTCTGTGTCATGCAAACTCTGTCATCCACAGCTTTAGAGATAACAGGCACTATTTACAGATACATCGTAACAGGGAAATTTGCCTACTAGCTCTTTTCAGCAACTACATTAAACAGTGTACCATAACCTTTGCCATTAGCTTATCTGTCAGATGAGCAATAACAGCAGGGATTCGAACTCACAACCTCTTGGTCCAGAGGTAAGGTCACTAACCACTGGACAACGCAACCTTACAGTTATGTGTATAATAACCACATTGGTTACAATTGGATAGAGTTCTACATGTACTTACAGGATCCCTGGACACAAACACACTGAGGTTGATAAGAGGTCCGCTCATCTCAAAAAAGTTCAGCCAGTTATTGACGTCCTGCTCAGACTGTAGGGGCGTCTGGGAGAATCCGGGCTGGAGGGAACAAATGACGAGAAGCTCAGAATATCAGAATACATAAAACTTGATACTTCATGTGGGCATGAAATAAATTCTGTTTGATCCAGCTCCAAAGTTGGCATCACAAATTGCCATAGAACAAATCTTGTGTTGGAAGAAAGCTTGAACTCTATATCTATGCATTCTACCAACACAGATGAGCTTTCATGCCGAAATTGCAAATGTTTTGCCTAAAAGTCTACTGTTACATCGGATGGGGCCCAGCAAGCAGCAAGCACTGTCTGATCCATAAAAATTGCTCTGTGTTTGAGAGGACACCAAATCATAAAAATTTTGGGCAAACTACATGTACTTCCCCACTGTGTGACATCAATAAACACCTGGAACATGGCCCTTTATCTCACCATGATATGAATTTTGGCCTGACCCTTCTCCAGTAGGAAGGTGCCTCCCAGGGCGACCGGTCTGTCTCCATACTGCTGCTCCAGGGTCTTCCGCATGCAGCTCACAAAGTTCTCCTGACCTGTACGGACCTTCGCTTTCACCTCCAGGACCTGCAAGGAGATGTAAAATCTTAGCAAAGTCCACAAAACCTTGCAGACTCCAGAAAGAATAATGTGCATAATGCAAATTCATATAATTTATAAAACAAATAATTGTGCAATTTATGGAGGTCCTGATAAAAACAAGCAACAATAGGAAATACAGTTATAAAGAATGACTCATGTAACTTATTAGTATTAGAAGACAATATTTCCCAGTGTTCTCTGCAAACAGAGCTAGCTAAAGGTTTTGTAAAGAACTTCTGTGACCTCTGACCTTGCCAGGTTTTCCCTCGCTGAAGAACAAGTTAGCCAGCAGGCAGAAGTCACGGCACTGGTAGGTCTCCTCATAATGTTCTAGTATACACGTCCCATCCTAAACAACAACAAATCAATTGACTTATTCAATAGCAACACAGTTAACAACAACACAACAGATCCATAGGCAGGGCTCACAGTATTGGTACTTGAAGAACAAAGGTACAATGCAGCCTTGAGTTCAGTCTTGTTATCTGCAGTCTGCTACCTAAGATCTGCAATGGATCTTGGGGAGCAAACTAAAGCTAACTAGACTGGACTCAAGGCTAGAACAGAGGTCCTATCCTAACTTTGGGCTGGGATCTGTTGAGGATCTTTCGTAGCTTGAGCATCGGCCCAGTTTCATTACTGTAGGTCTGTCCAGCTATATCTACACAATGTGTTGTGCTGAAGAGCAGTTATACCGGCTATAGAGGTACAGATTCAATCTTCTGGAAGTGTTACATTGATGCATGTTTACAGACCACTAAAACTCGTACACGAGCCATAGGAACAGGTGGAAACTCACCTCAGTGTTGACACGTGAAATTCGGGTCTGGTTGTTCCTGCTGTGGGCCCCGCCCGTGGTCCTGATGTTGGGCATCATCTGACCACAGAGAACAGATACAAATGTATATATATTCGGTCAAGTACTTGGCTTATTTGAAAGGTCATTCAATTTGTTGAGACAAGAAGGAGTCAAAAAAGACCACTTGAAGTTTTCAGCTATCACTTGGCACAATGTGTCATTGAACCAAGCACGACCTCAAGAATCCAGAGAATCCATGTTTGTCACAACATCAACGACTCATAAAATCCAGCCAAAAGGTTTGCAGTGTAAAAGAGCTAACCCTACCAATTTTTTAAAGAAAAGTTGTTAAAAGTTAAAGGGGAACTTGTATGCACTCACCTCACAGTTGACCCCCACGACATGTGCACCACCTGCACCTGCTCCCAGCACAAACGCACCTGGGAGATCCACCTGCCCTGCCACCTGCTCCAGGTTATACTTCTGCATGTATAGAAAAAAAAGAAACAATCTATTTCAGCTTATTGTACCATCATCATATTCCACTGGTCATAACAAGGAGGGCAGATCTTTAAAAAAAAATTAACGGCTCTCAGTGGCCAATGTGCAGATGTTGTCACATCGGCGCACCAAATCCGTAGTGTGTTTTTGGTACACAGTCATACAGATTAGCCTAAGAGGCAAATCTTTTGTGCACTGTATAATTACATGTAGTTATCATGTCCTAGGTATAAACATTTATTTGTGAATTCTTTATAGTACAATTGATCATGGATCACTCTTTACAATGTATCACAGTTTGCTGATGCCAAACTAACCCACCTTGTCTAGTTGCGGGGTGGGGATGAGATAGGGCACTCCTCCAACATCAGCCACCCGGGGACTGCCACATAGTCCTGTACACAACAACATAACAGCAGCTTTAGCCGATACGACACAGCAATGCACTGAAAAGGTATATAAATTTGCTAAACAATCTACAAATACAATCTGGCGGAGACTACGATCACGATCTCTACCGGTACAATGCCAATTATAGTCTCTACCCTGACACATTATTATGTAAGACTAAATCGTACCTGGAGCTGCCAGTGTGAAGGGTGGTTGTGTCAGGTCAGGACAGTCCACAACTTTGACTTTGGCATCTAGGAAGTTGGTACTCAGGCCAGCCTGCAGAACTGTAGGGGTGAACAAGAAAAGCAGAATTCGATAGTTGCATGGAGGTAATAGTTAGGACAAACTGTCAGCTCTAAAAGTCTAATCTTCAAGAAGATCCTACGGTGGCAGATAGGATAGTATCCATTGGCCAATGGATACTGCCTTGCCACTGTCTCGTCTTGCCTACTGTCGTGTCTAGGATCTGCTTGGAGAATAGTCATCTCCTGAATGGATCGATGGAACTAGATCATAAGGCCCAGATGAGTTAGACCACGCCCCCCTAGTGAGAACTTTCGGCTTTGGACCGGCGTTTGGACTCTCGGTCAGCTGTCCCGTGAGCTGTCAGAAGCCGCCAGACAGTACTGGGAGCATGGTTTCAGCGACAGTTCATTCATAGGTGATCCTGGCTTACTCATGTGTAACTACACACAACAAACCGTCCCGAACCTGCGGCTAACTCGTCCAGCGGCGGCACAAACGCCTCCTTCCTGTCCACAGCCATCTCACGCTCCGCCATGATGGTCTAACCTTTGTACCTTGGGAGACACCACTCTGTATCCGAGGGGTGTTCGTGGGTAGCCTAAAACTACACTACCCAGTAGTGAATTTGTTCAACGAAGATCCAAAATTATGACAAAACTGTTTGAAAAATGAACTTACTTAGGAACTTGATAAAAGAGAAAATGATAAAACAGTCATGTTACTCAAATGCACAACAGTTGGCTGTGACCATGGTACTGATCATGCCATCCAGAGCTGGCAATGTGCTTTTCTGTAACGTTAGTGATCCGCTTGGAGTAATATTAGCCTCTACCAGGCTTCAGAAGTGGCGTGAAAGAGTAGATATTGGCCAAAAGACAAACTTTACTCACCTGGCATGTTATTTGTCCATTTGGCCTATGACTATTTCTAGCCACTTCTGAAGCATGGTAGATAGAGGCTAGGGAGACATGCCACAGATGTGTGATCTTGATTGAATACACACACCTATTGACTTCTACACACGTTCCCAACTCTACAAACTTGTCAGTAATAAGGTGCCATAAAGATCCATGACCCATTCTCACCAAACTTACATTGACTTGCCACACCAGGATTTGATGCTTTCATACTTCTCATGAACTGTTTGTTTTATTCTGTCATGTTTGTATCTCCAGTTACATCAAAGTTATGGACAGTTCTGGCACATCAGTAGTTAGTACATTTTTGTCATTATTCACCCATAAACACCTTAATCTCACATTTTCAACATTTTTCACCAATAAACACCGGATAGACAAGCATTGTGGTCACCATATAATTGATTACAGTGTAAAACATAAATTTAACATCATATAAACAAAAAATATTTCACTGACAAAATAGATTGCTTTTCAGTTTTTAGTTTGTTTTCTGCAACATCTCAAATTTGGTATGTTTTTTCAAAAAAAAGAGAAGTTGCTCAAAGGACCCATATTAGTACATGTAGCTTGGTTACCAAACCTACTTTTGCTTCCAAGTCTTTATCCTCTCTGCAAATAGATTTGGTACCCAGGCTAACATATTAGTCCACAGGAGAGCCAATTCAAAACCAAAATCAATTTTGGAACATAAATTAGTTTTGTGTATTATCATCTAGTGCATCACAAATTACACTGTACTCTTTTACGGACTTGTCCAACACTGTTTAAACATGTTACAGATTTTTTTGTAATACTACAAGTACTTTTCTTACTGACATCTTTGATATCCAGTCTGGCACTCCACCCCAAAACCTTACATATTCCAGATTTACCAGCCTAACACCCTGACAGACGGTTTATTGCAGCACAAGAAGGATGTGGTCTAACTAACATCACATGCATTGTGGTCCCTGACAGCAGATCATTTGACACAGCACAGGCTAAAGAAGACTGGTGTATTGCCACAGGTAGAATCTGTATTTCACAGTGATTATCTATGCACATGTATCAGCAAAGTTTTCTACACAACTTTATAAATGACAAAGAGTTGTTCATTTCTTGATAACCAAAACTTAAAAGATTTAGATTTATTATATCTTCATTGAACCTTCAGTACCATTGATTTCTGCATGTAAGCAGGGATCCTCAAAACTACATGTTCATGTATAGTGCATCTAGGTTAATGACAATTTCTCACAGTAAGACAGTACATGGTGTTGGGTCAGAAACACAGCCCTGACAGTAACACAGTAGAGAAGACGTATTTACAACACCTCTTCATGTCAATCACCTCTTCCATCATTCTGTGCTTCAAAGATATATTCATCTACGACAACAAACTAATTAGTATATACTACTATCTGTTTAAGGGCACAAGTGACACTACCCATACTTCACAACATCATGATATATCAGATCTTTCTTTTTTCTTTGTGGAAAATTCAGTAACACTTTTCTTTGAGAAGTTCTCTTGTTGCCTCTTTCTATCTGGTGGACGGCCGGTACAGGACTTTACTGGCGGAAGGAGGAGATGGTATCAGAGATGATGCCGATGCACTCCTTCAGCTGGTCCTCGGTGATGACAAGGGGTGGGGCGAAGCGGATGATGTCACCGTGGGTGGGCTTGGCCAGGAGTCCGTTGTCACGGAGACGCAGGCACACCTTCCACGCATCAAACTCTGCAACAGAAGTTAAAGTCAACATCAGAAATGTCATGACAGGGTCGTTACTGCAGATATTTGCAGTTGTTTTATTTTTGTAGTTACACTGGTGACCACTTACCATAAAATTACAACACCACAAAGTGAGACAGTGTTTTGTCTTTCCAAGGAGCTTTAAATTCAACCTTCTTGGTCTTTCTAATGAACAACAGAATTGTTTCGAACGTAAAACAATGCATAAACCTCATTTCCCCTCATACCCTGAAAAATATCTATTCACAGTATCATCAAATGAAAGCCAACATCAGTGAGCAATTAAATGCAAGATAGTTCCCTGCAGTCTTTCCTGAAGCTTGGTTTAAAAGGTACTAACCTGGTATATCAACCTATTCCCAAGAGTAACTCACCTGGAGTGTCCTTGATGACGATGGCGTTCAGCAGCCCCTTCCCTCGCACCAGAGTGACGATGTCACTGGGCAGCTTGCTGAGCTCGGCACGCAGGATCTGCCCCAGGTACTCCGAACGCTCTGCCAGCTTCTCCTCCTCCAGTACCTGATATAGTGTCAAAAAGTGTCAATCATACAGAAGGTAGAACTTGTCACTTTTTACCAGATTTACCCCTATTAAAATATATCCAATCTAACAAAACAGCACACACTAGCTGTCACGTGTATTTTATGTATTATGTATTTTACTGCTTATCATTACAGTATGCCATAAACTACTGCATTACCGTACAAGCTATACCCTTGTCTAAAACTCCTGAATTCCCCTCGGTGTGTTACACCGAAGGGCAGTTATACCGGCTGTACAGATACAGAATCTGATACAGATACAGAGCAGATACAGCTTTAAAAGGTTACAATAGGTTTCTTTTGTCTTACAGTGTTCTGATATACAGATGTCTAAACTCACCTCCAATGCAGCAATGGCGACCTTGCAGGCCAGCGGGTTCCCTCCGTAGGTAGAGCCGTGCTCACCTGGTTTGATGGTCAACATCACCTCATCATCAGCAAGTACACAGGACACCTACAAACAGTAAATAGTAAAATATGAGTAAATAGGACACCTACAGACAGGCAGGAAAATATAAGTGCACAGGACACCAACAGACAGGCACTAAACATGAGCCTGTATGACACATATAGAATAACATGTTGCAAAAGTCCTTAAAGCTTCTGTCCTCTACATCTCAACAACAAAAGATGAACTTCTTGTGCACAGGATAATACTATGTAAACCACGGTAGTCTTTCCATAGCCTCTTTAGACCTGTAGATTACAGTTTAGGTGATTCTCATATGACGACTGTCACAGTGGTACATTCATACATGAAGCCAGGGTACTCACAGGTAGGACCCCACCAGACAGTGCCTTGCCCAACACGACCAGGTCAGGACGGACCTCTTCATGATCCACACACAGGCGGCGACCGGTTCTTGCCAGCCCCGTCTGCACCTCATCTGCAATCCACAGCACCTGCACAGGGAGAAATTATCAGAGCTTTGGTCTGCCAGCAAGCCTTTTTTACCTCTGTGCATGGAGGTTTTGTTTTTGGCGGCAGAGTTTGTTTGCTTGAGTGTTCGTAGTCGAATACAGTACAGTCTCCAGAAGGTATGGGGGAAATGGTGTAGCCACAGACTGACAGAAAGCAGAAGGGCTAATTGAAGGACAAAATGGTTTCCCCCCAAGCAGGATATGCACAGAATTGGCAAGACATTCCCAATAATATGAAGAAGAAGAGATTCACAACAACCCTAAATACTCGGATCTTTGATTTCTTGTTCCTCATGTTCTACATGTTATTTTTGGAGCACCCCTTCACTACCTACATTATGTTTAGTGCAGATCTCACGGACACCCCTCAGGTATCCCTCGTGGGGCACGACAACACCAGCCTCTCCCTGGATGGGCTCCACCATGAACGCACACACGTTAGGGTCGCTCACAGCTTTCTGGAACAAATCACACACAAAACATGGTTAACATACAATGCTGCATACACAAGGTTGTAGAGTCTTCTGGACAAAAAAAGCCTGACTTACAAGTAACATGTTCCTTTTTGTTCTATTACAGTGATTCTTTGAAGGAAAAGACAATGTCATGGTACCCAAATAAAGCGTTTAGAATGTTTCACTCTCATCATCATTTGTATTCCTCTTTCCTTCCTTCCTAATCAATGGAAATCATCTTCCCAAATGATTTGAAATTGTAACTTGGTTGAAAGCCTGTTACTAAGTTTTAGACATGTTTTTTTTAAAGTTCAATCTGATTGATAACTAATTATACAAGCAGATTTTGTTAAATTTTTCTCAGAATATACACAAAGCGCATACATGTACAGATGTATATTAAAGCATGTGTATAATAAAGCGTATGTAAAGTAAATAAGTAATGTATGTACATGTAGTATGTACTATGTAAGTCTGTTTGAGACCCATCATTATACAAGGCCCTCTACGCCCTTCTCACCTCCAGTGCTCCAAGGTCGTTGTATGGAATGAGGTCAAACCCGGGCATGTACGGGCCGAACCCGGCGAAGCTGTCAGGGTCAGTGGAGCTGGAAATGGCCGCCAACGTCCGTCCCCAGAAGTTATTGTTGGCAAAGACTATCCGTGCCTGGTTCTCGGGCACGCCCTTGACATTGTAAGCCCACTTCCTGGCCAGCTTACAGGCGGTCTCCCCACCTTCCACACCTGTAGATAGACAGTATAATCTGTTTTAAACCCACAAGAAGCTGAGGGATCAGTCATACATCTGTGGCCCTCAATGATTGCAAACATGGCACTTACTGTTTGTTGTGAAATCTTCACCACGGATATGTGTTTTGTATCTCTACTGTACAACAGAATTGTTTCAACTGCCAAACTCAAACGCCACAAAAACTTTTTTCCCTGATACAGTGAAGTAAAACTGCAGCCATATGAGGAATTTGAGAAATATTGTAGATTTCCTCACTAAAAATTGCTTTAAAAACAACCTAGATATAAAAAGCATTTTGAGACCTGCCTATGGGGACTGTGACTCTGATTCAGCTGCCACAATGATAATAATTACTACTGCTACTACTAACTACTATCACAATAACATCAGCAACAGCAGCAGCAGCAACAACGAACCTACCTGTGTTCATGGGTAGAACCTTGTCATACCCAAACAGTTTGGTCACAAACTCCTCATATTCCCCCAGGGCATCATTGTAGAATGCTCGGGAGGTCAGGGTCAGTTTATCAGCTTGGTCCTTCAGTGCCTGGATAATCTTGGGGTGACAGTGACCCTGGTTCACTGCGCTGTAAGCACTCAGGAAGTCATAGTATCGCTTCCCCTCCACATCCCAAACAAACACACCTACAGAGGATGGGGGTATAGTAAAAAAAATTATCTTCAGAAATAATGAATTTCAAAGAAAAAATTCCTACAAATCTCTAGCGGTACTAGTAATTAATTATTATTACTACTAATGGTTCAATTATTTCTTTCATCAATTTTGTTAGTCCTTGTTTTATGAGGCTCAAAGATTAGCTCTGAACATGCCAAGACATTTTTTGGGGTGTTTCCTAAAAGTAAACTGATAGTCCACACGGGAAAATAAAGATCCTATGTTACTCTAGTAACTGCATTTTTATCAATTGCAGGTCTGGCACCACCTACACAACACCAGCAACAGCTCCCTGTGTCCCACATGTATTGTACCATTGCAATAAATCAAATCAAATCACCCTTGGCCTTGCTCAGTGCCACAGGCAGAGGGTGGTAGTTGTGGGCTCCGTATCGTTCCTCCCGTTTGAAGACTTCCTCAGATTTTGGCCCGTACTGTGGCTCCGCAGCTGTACCGAAACATCTCGCAGCCACGGGCTGTACTGCACGAAACTTCAGGCCTATTCTGGACAGCATGGTTCACCTGGGTCAAAGTACAATATTACAGAATGCATACGGTTACAAGTTTCAGAATACAATAATTTAGGTGAGGTGACGATATCCCTACAGTTTTTTTGTGTCAAAATATAGCATCCTTTTCTTATGTATAATAATAGGGGTATCTGAAACTATTTATGTTTCATACATATACAGTATGTGTAAAAATGCATCTATGCAGCCTTCCAGTTTCATACTGGTAGCATGGTAGCATGGAAAGGAAATCTGTGATATTTTTCACAATAAATCAAACACAAAACCCATGATATTTTATAGCAATACCTGCCATGTACAGTAATGATAGAGTCCTCAACACACACTTACTACTACAAATAATAGGCCTTATTCAAACCAACTCAGGAAGATTGGTGGGTGAGACTATGTGCACGGCATCAGTAATGGACAGTGAATTGTGTGCATGGAATACAAATCAATCTGCATGAAGGCCAACAGTGTTTCCAGTCACAAGTGAGAAGGAACAGGGCCACATTGTTCACATATAGATACTATACCTTTACTTCAGTAATCAGTAATACTGATTACTGAAGGTATCTTTGTGGAACAATATGTCTGTAATCTAATCCTTGTAAGCCTCCCTAATTACATTACCAGCATTACATTGTAGATATCCCAATGGAGATAATCAACCACACATCTTTAATGTGATTAATTCATGATGAGCTTAAGAATAGGTATCATTTTAATACCTTCACGAGGTCATGGACAAAGGTAATTAGAATTTCCTGATGCAGAAAACCACATCTGCCTTTTTTGTGGTTGTGATGAATCATGAATGTAATTCAGAAATCTGATGGTCAAGATCATAAAAACACATGAATCAAAATGAGACCTACAGCATAGTCTGATTGGAATAGTTCCTTTATAAACAGTTTGACTGAAAATCCACCATCCAGATGTTTTCCGGAGAGAGTTTCCCAGCTATTACAACTGTTACAGTGTTTTCAGTACTTGCTACTGTAGTACTGCACTGTGTGGTCACCGGGAACAAAACACAAAATGGGGTATCCTTGTAATGACTGATATATGAACGGAGTGAAACATATTTAAACTTGGCTGAAATTAAATGTTTTTCTACAACCTAGGAGGTTTAAAAAAAATAGAGAACCCACCCTTAACACACCCCAGTCTGTCCTCAGGTCATTCAGGTTGAACCCACCACTAACACACCCCGGTCTGTCCCAGGTCTGACCCTATCACACAGCACAGCTGTGTTAAACAATTTACATGACACAATTGCAAACCGCAGACTAATAGATCACTTATAACACTGAAGTCTCCTTTACACAATGGCCGGACAATCAAACAATGGCAGCTCTAATGTATATTGGAACTGTGCCAAATCTGTTTTCATACAGGTCACCACAACTGATAATTTAGTTTACATTACCTGGGTCTTGCATCATTTCTATTTGGGCCCCAGGCCATGGCACAGTGATTTAATTATCTCTATGGATCTGAGGAGGTTACATGTTTACTCCAGTCCAGCCTTGTGGTTTGTGTACAGATGTGTTGTTTTGGGAGTGTCTGTCTGTGTGTGTGTTTTTCCATATTTGTCCATAGTACAATGTCGGTGCATGTCGGGATCGAACACAGGACCTCTTAACTAGGGCTTAAAATACTGGGTGCATGTGCACCTTTACAATGTAAGTGCACAAATTTGGAGCTGTGCACACAATTTTTTTGTGGGTGCACCCAAAATATTTTCATAGGTTTATGTATGTAAAGGTGTTAAATGTACAGTAGTATATAGCATATTCTTAACACCTAAGTGGTATAAAAATAATAAAATCGTTGTTATAGTACTTTACCTTGGAAAGGAAAAATAATTAGATTTTGCTGACATTCTACTTATTTTATCTTATGAGCCCTGCAAGCCAAATGCTCTGACAGTCTGAGTCTGACCATTACACCATGCTAAGCCAACAGTGACGATAATGATGAAAAAATTAAGGACAAACTGGCTGTGTCACAGTGTTAGTACCTATAAGTATAAATCACACCCTCAGTCCTTACCTCCTTACCTCACACAGATTTTTTTTCTACCCTTCTCCAATGCCTGTGCAGAGTTACTTAAGTTAAGGGTCATAATTTGCATCTATCCAGCTTTTACCTATCATTAAGACCCCACCCCCCTGCAGTGTGTATAGTTGTCTGCTGATAACCTACTGTCAACCTAATCTCCAAGCAGATCATACGGTGGCAAGGCAGTATCCATTGGCCAGAGGAGTGTCCATTACATACTGTCCGGCTAATGGATACTGTCTGGCCAATTTGATACAATCTTTGCAGACACCGAAAGATCTTTGGAGATTACTGTCAACCCACATAACTTACATAGAGACACCTCCAGTCTATAATTTGCATGTACTGCATCAAGCATTTTACCAGTCATATCATAAATCATATAATCAAGTCCCCACCCCCTGTCGTTTACAGAGTTGTATGTTTTAGGATGGTTCAGTTCTCAGTTTTAAAACCATCTTTCCAACTCATCACACACCATTAAAACATACCTCTAATCTTACCTGATGCACTGTGTTGGTCTGTTGAGGAAGAAAAGCTGCTGAAACTGCGAAGACGGCTTTCTGCAGAATCTTCTCACGTTGTCACTTCAATAAGGTGAAAGGTTACGGAACATTATAAATTTGATAGGGGTGTTTCAGGTTGAATAAAGTTCCGTTTGTTCGCACCGTAAGTTCTTTTGCCATTCACTTAAGACAAAAACATAGAGCAACTTAAATTATTGTTGGAAATAAGCCTAAAGATGAGTAATAACTCATTTGTATTTTGAAACGGAATATTAAATTAATTCTACTTTCACCCGAATCCTACACACCAGTTGGACTCTTCCAAGTACACACATTCCCATGACGTTAAGGAATTTTCAACAACTTTCTAAACCAAACAACTTTCGATGACGAGTACACAGTTATCTAAGACAGAAGATGGGCACGGTCGAGTTCAGATCTTCTAACGTGTTTACATTGTTTACAGTTAGTCGTTGCAGTCTGTTGACGATGTCTAGTGGTTTACACCGCCACTGCGTTCAGTGCAGAGGTTTCCGGGGCGGCATGGCATGCGGGCCGAGGCCGGGCCTGGGAAGGGCCGGGGCGGGGTCCAGGGAGGGGGAGGGGAGGAGAGTCTCAAAGAGGAGACGGTTGAAATTTCGTATGAAGCCGCCGCATGCAGCTGCCACTATCCTGAAGTCTATCCGATTGCTTGTCACACCTGTGGAGCACACGGCAGTGATTGTCAGGTGACCTGAAGACGGGGACTTTCCCGCCCAACCAACCACGGCCCACGGGAGGAATTCCCCAAAGTTTTAATCACTTCATCAAAGCAGAACTCACCTAAAGTTCCGCTTCCTGAACAAGGAAGAAGGACACGAGCTTCGGTACGGAGAAGACGGCCAGGTACCGCTATTTATTGTAAGTTTGTCAGTTTCATAATTTATAATCTTGTCAAACGTTAATTGACAAGCTTTGTCTTTCATAGAGTGTCGTGAGGGAAGTGGTGACAACCGCTATTGAAAAATTGCAAGATTTATAGTCTAAGGGTACGCTAGAATGCATTCAAATGTTCTTCAAACAATTAGTAATTTGTGTTTCTGCATTTAATAAGGAAATGGAGTTTTGTTTGTATCCAAAAAGGCCCCCATCAGCTGTTGGTACATTGCTGCTAGCTAAGCTAGATCTTTTCAGGTGGTCAACTTTGTTAAACTTGTTCTTAACAAAAAGCAAGGACATTATGTAACGTCAGAGTAGCCTGAGTGTCAGCCTTGTTAGCTTTCGTCCGCTACCCAAGGTCCGCTCCCCGCCAACGGCCAACGGCCAACGGCGGGGAGCGGACCTTGGGTAGCGGACGAAAGCTAACAAGGCTGACACTCAGGCTAACGTCAGAGACCTTGCAAAGAGAAACTGATTCACCAACAGCCTTTCTTTCAAAATATTTCTCTCAAAGAGCAAGCAGCTTATTTTGGGCCAAGGCTATAATACTAGTAATACATTTCTAAAAATATTGACACTGGACTTAATAGCCACGGTGATTTGATTTTACTTAGGAATGGCCCATAGTAGTTTTTAAGAAAAAAACTTGTTGACAAGATGAAGAGTTATTCAAAGTTATTGACCTGTGGAGACCACTTCCCTTTTCTAACATTGTGGCACTTCCTAATTCTGGAGGCTACAATAGTGTGAGACAAAACTCCTGTGTCTCGGTTTCTGTTCTAGGAGTAAGAAGACTTAGCTTACACTGCTCCATCATAAAGAGACCTGCTGCCCACCTGAGGCAGTACACATGGATCGACTCATCCAAATTCTCCGCTCAGAAAACCAGACAGGAGGAAACTACCTACATGGTAAGCCAGTGAAGGTGTAATTTTACCCAATGGGCAGGTGTAACAGGTGTGCAACAGGTGACCGGTGTATAATACCAGGGCTGTTCCAGATCGTCATTGGAATGTGGTTTTCTATACTGCATGCTTGCCTTACCTTTCAAAATTTATGGAGAAGTCACAACTTCCCATTCGGTCAGCTAAAACCTTCATGTTTTATAAAGAGGAGTGAGTTGATGTACCATTTATAGAGAAAGGAGGAGCAATACGGGATTATTTTACCACAACCCTAAACATGATTTAAAGCTTCTTGGTATATAAATCAAAGCAGTTTTGAATATTCTTTGTATGGATGGTTAAGGTAAGGAGTATATCAGCACTCAGCAGTATCTTTCAGTTTCAGGATATCAATAATTCACTCATGTTCTTGTATGTATTGTAAATGCTCAAACTGGCCTGGTGTTACCTTGTATACAAGATCTCCCCCTAGTGGCAAAAGTTAGTACTGCAAGTGGGTTCCTAACAGTCTACCGTACTAGTATGAGGGCTGAACCCCTGTACATGTATCTCCATACTGCAGCTCTGAAAAGAAGGACAGGGTGGGAAATTTTGCCAGTTCATGTGTCATGTGAAATAAGTTACCAGGAGGGGTTGCTAGCACCTTTTCCAAGCAAGCACATGTAATGTCATAATATTTATCGACAGGTGCGAAGGGTTTTTTATGTCAGGACATTTTGCAACTCTTCTTTGACAACTCTTTGATTAACCTTGACCCTCTAAGTTGAACTTTTTTGTTCCTGGTATGTGCACCTAATAGTCAGGTGATCAAGTGTACATGTATATCATGTGACAGTTGCTGCCGAGTCGCCCTTGGCAAAGCTGAAGGCCACAATTAGTACAGCCCACAGCCTGCTATGTGCAGCACGTGGCTACAATCACCTCTGTTTCCTGCCTGAGCCTGTTCCTGACAGAAGCCAGGCCGATCAGTCCTGGCCTTGACATTGGTCAGATGTTGAAAGATAGGCTCATCAAAACCGACCTGACGCGGTAGTTGCCGTGGAAATGGAGGGGAAGAGTGAGAGGGGGACCCGGGTTGCGTCAGAAGCGGGGAGAGGAGTGACAGGAGTCGTCTGGAGACAACCGTTATCAGCTGTTCGCGTGCAGTAGGAGGTGTCTTGTGACAAGTGTTATCGCCCGCTCGCGTGCCGAACACCAAATTGCTACAACCTGTTGATCTTTGTATCAGCAGCTGAAATCTTGGCTATACAGTATAAACAAGTTGAAAAGAAGTCAATGAATGCAAAGCAAGGACATTATCCCTATAATATATACTAGTAATGTCCTTGGTGAAAACCTTTACCTTTGAGCATGAAGAAAACTGTAGGTTCCTTAGCAGATAAACAACCACCAACATGCGTCCTGTCATTGCTATTAGTTCATCTTTATAATCGTTCCTAGAATCTGAATATGATGTCAATCCAGATTTGTCCCAAAGTTCATTCACTTCTTTTACGGTCAAGGCCTACATACAAACAGAAATATTTATTATTCTTAGTTCTTCTTGGGCAGTTTTGACTGTATGTAGCCTCTTGAGGTTACACAGTAAGGTAGTATCCTTAGTGCTGGGCACAGCAGTTTTCTTTGACCGACTGTGTGACCGACTTTGATACAGGGACCAGAGTTTATCACACCAATAGCCCTAGAATTTCAGAAAACAGGGTCCTGTTGTGATAAACCAACAAGACAAATTCTGCCTCAGCATGTCTTGTAGTGGTAAACAAGGCAATCTCCTAAGTCTCTTGTCTCCACATTTCGTCGCCTGCTTTAAAAACAAGTTTGTAATCTGCCAGTTAAAGTAGCCTGCCTGCTGACAGCCACATTCCTGGCATTTTGTTTGTGCTCCGAACTTTGGAACCAGTAAAAGTTTCTGACATGGCCTTTCCTGTCCAGTCTTCTTCCTATGGTACCTTGGAGCCAGTCTTCCTGACCTGGTTCTTTTAGTTATTTATTGTGCTGATCAAGGGAAATGTGTGTTAACATTATAAGTAAGCTCCTATTGCAAAGCGTTACTTGACAACTACAGGAAAAGGTACTAGGTTAATGCTGGGAATCTCACAGGATTGAAGTTTTAGTAATTTTGCAAAGTTGGCACATCAAGGAAAGGTGGAGAAATCGTGGCACTCTTCTACTCAATTTGACAGCTGTTAATCATTCTTGAAGCCTCCATTTCCTTGAAGCTTACACATGGAATGTTTAGTTCTGCAGTTTGGACCCAAGTCTGGACTTTGGAACCAACACATCTTTAACTTGTTCGTCACTTCACAGATAAGTTGGTCATGTTTGTCAGCCCAAGTCTGTACTGGACAAACATTTTGGTACATCACGCGATTGGACACAGGTCCTGAAGCGAATCGTCAGTCTGGTTATCATTGGGATGATCTGTTTTTCATGCCCTTCTGAGTCTCATCACATGGCCAGTGTCACGGTTGATTTCTTGCACGTGTTCTCTGGTCTCACCTGCCCTGAGGTAAGAACGTGGGTGTTATTTATAGTGGTCATGTGCTGAGCATGTGATGGGGGGAAATGACTTTGATCTGTCACAGATGTTCTGCAGGCAATCATGATATGTGTCAACTAGAAAGCGTACTTCGTAGTGGCACTACAAGTGAGCGTACCTGTTGGATTTCACTTTGTTTTAAGCCTTGAAGAGATGCCATTAGATTGTGTAAAAGATACTTCTGGAATTGTTGGAACTGTCACTGTCTTTGAGCCTTCAAGTGTCTTTTACCAGTTTCCACTTCAGGTACAAATTGCCATGCCAAATAGAGGCTAAGGCTATAGCCTTTTACACATTTTCTCCTTTTATGATTATCATCCTATACAAGATCGTATTAAAATGTCTGTGTAATAATGGCCATCCACTGTTATTTCACTTGATTGAAATTGACTCATGAACTACTAAGTTTTGTAAGTGTCTTCTGAGATCATGAAAAGCTATAGAACTTCAAAGTTTGTTATTGAAAACGTTGGACAAACAATATGTACATGTTGTTTGAAAAGAATCTGTTTGTGGTATTTGATCGGTAACCTTACTGCAGTTCTCGAGAGTCACCCTAATGCCTGTTGCCTGAGGCAGCGCTCCTGACCAAATCCAGCTGTCCCACTCACTTCCACCTATCAGCAAATTTACACCAGGTAACAGGAAGGGGATTGAAGATAACCTTTTGGGAAACTTGAGACGTCGTAACTTGATTTGCTGGCTGTTTCCAAGATGTAGCTTCAGGGGAAGGACCATGAAATTCTGTAAACCT